GCACAAAGTATTTAATTGTCGAATGGGTGGAGAGACCCTTCAAACACGAAAACCAACCTTATTTATTCTTCATTATTCTATCTAGTATACAATCTCTCTTTACAACTTTCCTCACAAGAGAATCGGGGTCGCACATGGTGATACAATTTTTCTTTACACTCGAGGCCCGACTCTCTTGTATCATATTGGAACATTTAATTCAAAATCAACCGACAATAAATTAAAGAACACTACGATTATAGTAAAATTAACCTTCAAATTTGAGTCAAAACTCAAAATGGTGAATTTTGACCCAAGTCAACTTTACCGAGAATCGTTAGACTCTTAAGTAAATGATGAAATCAAATCTTGATGACATGATTTCTGCGTACCAACTTTTGGTTCAAATTCGAAGAATCCGAAAAAGTATGTTTATAATTTTGCGTTCAAATGTAAAAGAGACCAAAGATAAAAAAGAAAAAAAAACACATAAGCACACAGCTTTTGAGAACTTCCCACTAGAGAACAAGTGACACCCACTGCTGCGACTTTTGAGGTTTGGTTGTATAGTTGAAACAAGGACTTAAAGTAAACCAAAACTTGGAACCACCCTTTGTTTGTCGGCCTTTTTCAACCTTATTTAATATCATTCAACCTTATTTAATTTCATTGTGTCTCCCTCTCTCTACTCTACTTTATAGCCAGCCATGTACTGTCAAAATCTAGCCGATCTAACTATAGTGTCAAATGCCTTTAGGAACTGGTCTCTAATACAAGTAATTTTTGTTCTTTAAAGGACATGTCATAAATGTGATCGGACAACGAAAACAAGTGTATATTTTTAAGAGAGTAATGGACGTAAGACTAAATATTATATAATATCACATAAAAAAATAATTTTAATAAAAAATTGAAATTTTAAGCATTCATAGCACAACAAACAATAAAACAAAAAACGTTTCACATGTATAACATTTTAATGGAACGATATTTCCTCCGATATTTTCTTTTTAATAATATTTAAAGATCGATCATTCACTATATGTGATGTACAAATGATAAAAAAATTATTCATATATTTAATTCTAAAAATATTAAGATAAAATTTTGTGGATTATAGATGGGTGATTTACATTTATTAAGATAAAAAAAAATTAAAATAATTTTTAAATTAAAATTTTATTTTTCGTTGACATAGTAAATACCCTAATCGATAAGCAATGGCTTAATTTTTTTAGTGGGACCCAGGAAGATGTGGCACAACATTGACCGTCTGCTGTCACTTCAGGACAGTGACATATTTGAATTTCAATTAAATAAGTTGATGTGATAAGTTAGGATTTGGATTTGGATTTAGATTTAGGGCCGTAAGAGATAAGGACAGGTTTTATCAGTTCAACGTCCACGTCACTATAATTATCTCATACATTAAACATAGGGAGTGGATAAAACTAGACTTTATATAATATATTTTTATTATTTTGAAAAAAAAAAGATAATATACTTTTATTGTTAAGTTGCATTTATTAATTCACTTTGCTGGTACAGTGGGCCACACTCGAATTGCCGGGAAAGGTTATTGAGCCGCCGACGATATTTTACAAAAATAAATAAATAAATTTATAATTTTTTGAAGTTAAGACATAAATTTTTTTTAAAATATAAAATTATAATTTTTAAAAGGTATGATTAATTATAAAAAATTACAATCAATATCGAAATTACAACTTTCAAAACTTAAATTATAATTTTTAAAGATCAATTTATAACTCATAATTAAAAAGTTATAACATTTTCAAAGAAAACTCATGATCAATCACGAGGGTCTGTAATCGATCATAACATTTTCTTGAACAATTATAACTTTTTCATTCAAATATGTAATTTTATTATAAAAATTTGTAATCGATGGTACAATATCAATTTTTTTTTTTTGTACCACAGAGTTTCCCAGAATTGCGTAGAAGAATTGATAAATTCTAGACTCACAAAAAAGGAGATATTGAATTGAATAATGTGATATTATTATAATTAAAAAATAGCATTAAATATATAAAAATAATATTAATAATTTTATTATAATAATATCACATTATTTAGTTTTTTTTTTTTTTTGTCTAGCATTATTCGAGAGAATTTTATCACTTTTAGTATTTTCTTTTAAGAACAAAATACAATATTTTTAAATTAATTTGCTACAAATTTTGCTTTCATTAACGTTAAAACACATGGGATTTGGCCAAGTCATTAAAGACAGATTAAGCCTACAAAGCATTGTTTCTTGTGGTCGGCCGTAATGTTTACCTTCATTTGCTTAGTTTACCTTCTTATTCTCCTGACTGACACATTTTACATTAACCAAAATATATATATATATATATACTACTAATAAAGAATAAAACTTTTGTCTTCCTATGAAAAACTTTGATTCAGTATTTTACTTTTATAAAAAATTTAAAATACCATACTATTCTTCGGTAGTTGAAAATTTAAATTACCATCATATACTTATTATGTATTTAAATCTCTAAATTATCTCTAACATCTCTTTTAATTCTCTATTTACTAGATATAATATCAGTATCTATAAAAAAAAATTAATTGACTACATTACCCTTAAAAAATAGGGTTAATTACAAGTTACACTCTGAAAGATAATTGGAATCTCAAATTGCTCCCCCAAAGATCAAAAATCTTAATTTACACCCTTAAAGATAGAAATTTGTATCAATGTGCACCCCTAAAGATCAAAAATTATAATGTCCAATGGTAAGTTTGACTTTAAACTTTATAGTATATCGAATCCACAAAATAAAAGATAATATGAAATTATAATTTTTTATTAGGATAAAATCATATTTTTTAACGATTATATTAACAGATATTAATGAAAAGAGATCACGTGTTACATGTGCACAAACGTCATAAGATGTAAGAGTAATATTCTAAATGTGAAGGGGTTCAAATGATTAGGTGACAAGCATGAGGAGATTTAGGTATAATTTATCAATTTAATTTTAAGTGCACATTGATACAAATTTCTATCTTTGAGGGTGTAAATTGATATTTTTATCCTTGGAAGGTGCACATTGATACAAATTTCTATCTTTGAAGGTGCAAATTGAAATGTTTTATCTTTGAGGGTGCAATTTGAGATTCTAACTATCTTTTCAGGGTGTAATTTACAATTAACCCTAAAAAATATATACATCACTATAGTTTTCAATAAACCATTCAAAAAATTTTCAAAAATTTTATCAATCTAATATTACTCATTTCAATTAGAACAGTAACATTATGCTCGCATATATATATTTTTTATATCAAAAAATTCAACCATTACATTTTTAAGATAAAAAATATATATTTTAAGTAATTTTTTTAAATTTTTTATGTTAAATCAACATAATTCTTCAGTCACAATAAACTTTTCACGTTTTATTAAGAGTTCATATAAGAAAATTATAGTCTATTTTTAAGTAAAAAAATTTTTTTAACTTAAATTTTAAAATTTAAATATTTTTTTAAAATATATATATTAAAGAGTAGTATATTATATTTTAGGGTTAATAGCACTTTTAGTCCATGAAAATATGCATATTTTGTCAGTTTAGTTCTCATTATATCAATTTTGTCAATTTTAATAAACTTGATACGACATTTAATGTATGTACACATATATCTAATATTTAAAATTTTATTTAAATACAAAAATTATTCATGTTCAATGAACGTGATACATTAGTATTAAGAGAAGTCTATTGCATAAGGGAAAAAAAATCATATACTGAATACAAATTTTAAGGCAATTTATAACTTTTATCGATTGTATATTAAAAATTATTACATAATTCAAAAACAATTATATTTTTTTTAAGAAACCATAATGGAATAAAAAAAATATATTATTTTTTCTATACCACAAGGGTGTGTTTAGTTTAGGCATTAGAAGAGAATGTTGAACAGATAACGTTTGGACCTACCTTATCTCGTTTACTCCCTTATCTTGATATACACTTTGTGCCCCATATAAGTTATAAATATTCAGGGCCCAAATGAGTATTATTTTTAAACTCCCATACAGTCTCTTAAATAAATTTACGTATTGTGTGGCTTTAAATAGTCCAATTGAGTATATTTTGACAGAAAAATATTTTTACTTCTAAAATCTCTAAAATATAATTATTTTGAGAGTTTTTTAATAATTTAATATTTATATCATCATTTAATATTTTATCAAAATAAAATATTAAATAGGATAAATATGCGACCCATTACTTGAATCAAATATGAGATAATAAACAATTATCCCTATAATAAATTCAAAGAGCTGAATGAATAAGTATGAGAAGAACGAATATACCATAATTAGATGGATTGGATAAATGGAAATCTACCATTAAGGGAAACCATAAATACAAGGGGGGGCAGAATGCACTCTAATCCTCAAATAGTCACACCCTTACCTAAATTAGACTGGGAAGAATTTTCCCAGTTGAATTTTGATTGTGATCTACCATGGATCTCAACAATCCTTAAATAGACTTATCCTTCTACCCCCCTTACATAAACCTCTTCTTCCCCATCTTGATTTGAAAACTCAGTCCATACACACACATGAACACCCTTCCCAGATTTACAATATCATAACCAACAACATGCTTGTGAATGTTAAGATTTATATCCTCATGTATACTGTGTTACGTATCTTTTCTATTTCGTTCTGGGTTTTTTTCTATTTCCATCCGTTGAAACACTAAATCAAAATCTGATAATCATTTAGGTGGACTTCTATCATTCCGTCTTTCCCATTATGTGCTATGAATTATTAAAGAATCTGATAAAAGAGAACAAAAGATAAAATATGAACATAATTACATTCATCAACAAAAGTAGAAAATTACACAGAAGAGATCATATATACTTTGACAGAGAAAATTAAGCTTGAAAAATAAAAAAAGATGAAATACAATTCAGAAAATTCCAAATGCTACCCACCCCATTCATCAGCAGAGCTCCGTGACAAATCCATCTGGTCTATCAACACAATTTCCAACTTTCGTCTCCTCCTCCTCCTCCTCCTCCTCCTCCATCTTCAAAATGATAATTAGAAAAAAAAAACACCACAAAATAGAGATTAATGCTTAATCTCTGCCATCCGATCTACTATATAATATATAATATACATGGTAAATCTTTAGTAAAAATATTAACAAAGTCGGAGGAAAAATCAAACGCCACCGACCCAATTTACCAGTCGTCACAAAAAAATTGAAACAAAGCTGAGGAACATGGATCCCGGTCCCGGATAATCATTTCACGAGTTCTGAGACCCACCCTACATCAGGACCAGGACCTGCCGAGTCAACTCGGTCCAGTGCGTTGTCCTTGCTGAGTTTTGCATATATCTTCGCGCGGAGGTCCTTCCCAGACTCCACCCTCTCCATTACAGGCTCTTCTTGACATGTTTTATCCCAAAGATCAAACACACCGATTCCAGAGTGAGTTGGTGGTAGAGTTGGTGTGGAGGGTAGACTCAGGAATCCCGGTCGGAGCGTGGAAGGACTACGGGGCGAACAGATCCCAGAACCCCTTTGGATGCCCCAAGAAGTTGGACTCATCCTCACCTTCCCAATCTGCAGACTACGCATTGACTCAGTGAGTCCACCCACCGAGTTCATTCCCAGGGAACCAGCACAAGGAGACATTGGCGGCGAATCCGACGGCGGAGAAACAGGTGGAGAGTACAGAGTCGAAACCGAAGACGACCCAAACGATCCATTGCAAAAAAACGAGTCTATTCGACTCGGCGAGCCATCGTACGAGTCAATACCGAGTCGTCTTGGAGACCCATCATAAGATTCAGCATAGTTCTTTTGACTAGTCTGAGGCAGAACACGGAGCTGGTCTGGCGTGTGAGCGAAGAAACAGACTCGGCGGCGACAGTGGGTTCCATCCTTGCAAGGCTGCGTACGATAGCGAGCCGGGTGTAGCCAGCACTCGAACACGCCGTGTGCGAACTCACACGACTCACCCTTCTTACACTGACCCTTTCGAAACTCTGGACATGCAGTGCCGGAATAGTGATACTTACGTGGGTCCCTCCGGCGAGCCTTCTCGCCGGGATGAGCGTAAGGACACTCCGTCCAGTCATGTGACCTACCACGTGGACACTTTCGAACCTTGAACTCGAACATCCGGAAGTTATCGCATGAGAACGCGTCCACCGGAACATCCAAGTCATCACTCCCGAATTCAGACTCAGCGCCAACAACGCCGTTGCTGTTGTTCATGTTTGACGGCAAGTAACGTTGGAGAGCCGTAAAGGCGTCGAAGGGACAGTAGTTGTTTGTCTCACCTCCGGGACTGATGGCATTGCCGTTAGGCGTAACGGAGTAGGCCGAGTTGATACTGGCCATTGGATCATCCATGAGGTGGTCCCACGGAGGGACCAGAACCGTTGGATTGGAACGAGTGGTTTCTCCGATCATCATCATTTCTTCTTCTGTCTTTTTGCCCTTCACGGTTCAGACTTGGTTCCGCAGAGGCCCATCCCCTCTTCAATATAAACTGCTTTGCTAACTGTGGTTAAATTTTAACCTAACCATGGTTAGGTTAAAAAGTACGGCCTCTACCTCCACTACCGGTTAAAATATGCATAAAGCTAAATTGACTGGACGGTGAACTTGTCCTCTCACAGACTGTTGCTGAACCTTGAGTTCTAAGCTATAGGTCCATGTGGGTCCCATTTATTTTTTCCACTCGACCAATTTATTGGCAGTTCGTTAATAATCCGCTGTTTTTTTTGTAAAGGTCACAGCTTCAATGGCTTTAGAATTGCTCTAGTAATAATCAGAACTGACACTTCATGAACTTCACGTCCCTTGGTTTATCAGCCGCCTAAGCTCTTCTTATTGCGAAATAATAGGAGTATATATATATCGTGCGGACCGAGATTTATGCTGATATTTTAGAGAGAATTTCAGAACCAGTAGGTCTTGGGGAAATGAATGTGGACATTCTCTTTGGATGCCACGTGTAATTGAAGCTCTGGGCATGTACGTTACGGAAAAAATATTGCATGTAACGGTTAGACATTAATCTCACAGTATTACCGGTCATTAATAAGTAAACGAGTCCAACAAAATTAAGTTATCACTCGCCTACGTAATATATAACTACTTTCATTTTCATGTAAAACAATAGAATTTATTTTATCTTTCTGGATGCCACGTGTAATTAACGCTCTGATCATGTGCGTTACAAAATAAATTTTACTCGTAACACGTTGTGTGCAATCGCAAAATTAAACACTCATGTAATAACCTACATCTAGGACAATGAAGTCCATTTCATTTATTTTCTAATTTTTTTATTAAACAATTATATCACGTAACAATGAAATTGGAACCCCACCAAAACCATAAAAGAAAATTGGGTTCCGTATTAATATTAATTATTTTTTCTTTTTTGATCAATATATTAATGTATTTTAATCCCTTACAGTATTGCACTCAAAATTACAACCACTCAAGTTGTAATTTGGTCTAAATGAATTTGTTTTTATTAAAAATAAATAATAACTTTTGTTTTTGCTTCAATATTTTTTTAAAAAAAGTAAAAAAAGAAATATAGTGTAATTTTCTAAAAACAAAAAAAAAAAACTTTTTAACGGTGCCAAAAAAGAGACTTAATTTAATAAAATTATTAAATTAATTATAAATTTTAATATTAGATCAAATTAATCTTTAATTCAAGTAATAATTGTATTGTACTAAATCCCGAAATTATTAAATAATTTTTTTTAAAAAAAAAATATATATATATATATATATTAAACAAAAAAAGGTAGGTCCGATAAATCTGTCTGAAAGAGTAAAAAAAACAAAGGAAAAGATACTTGGGAAGATGTAGTTGAGAAGTTTGGCGACACTTGGCAGTTGATAACTGGCTGTGTTTAGCGGCCCGATTATGGTGGTGCACGTCACCAGTCTTCGTCGATATTTGAGACGAGTCAGTTAGTTCCCCTAATTGCGATTCCCAGCTGCTATTCAACATTTTTTTAATCCGTGTCGTATTTATATTAATAAAAATTTTATTTAATTTTAAAAATTTTATATATATTAATTGACCATATTATTTTTAATTTTGTAACATACCGATTCATTTTAATAGATAAAATTGACACAACCCTAACCATTGTTGCATCGACACCAACTAACTCAAAACACCATTCAACTGGTATCGTTCAACCAAAGATCAATCAGTACCATAATATTCTCATCGGAAATGGGCAAAGATGGTGTTTTAAGTAAATTGTGTGGTTGTTGTTAAAAAAAGACATGTTTGGACGACAATTTTGGATTTTTTTGATAATATTAGTATGACGTTTTGTTTTGTTATTTAAAAAGTTTAGACATTTTAGGCATAACTTTATATTTTCTTCACTTTTTTTTTCTTTTTGTCAAACTCATAGGTGATAGAGTGACAATGGGCCTTGGGGACTGCTTTAAAACTTCAGTTTTTTTTTTTATTATTTTAGAGAAAAATAATTTGGTATGTTTGCACCCGAGCTTATGGTAGGACTTTTGTATTTATTTTTGGACAAAAATAAATTTTATCAGTATCAAGTAAAAAACTAAAAAAATAGACTTGTTCAAGGACTTCTAAAGAAAAATTGATTTTTTTGAAAATATTCCAAATAATTCCAAAAAGTTTTTTTTTTCATTATGTTTTTTTTATTTTACTTTTCAAGTTTTTATTTCGCAATAAAAAAAAAGTTCAAACACACCCAAATATCATTTTTTTTTATTTGAGACGTGTCAAATCAAAATTTCACTCAAAGTTTATGTGATGAATTTATCACAATCCCACAATAAAAATAGTATATTCAAATTTTAGTTGTCCCATTTGCATTCTCGCAGAGTCTCTTAGGGGTCTGTTTGATTAAAAAGAAAAAAATGATAAAAAGTAAAAATGATAAAAAATAAAGTGAAAAAAAAAAAAAGATAAATCATAACTTTCTTACATTTTTTTGTGTTTTTTACAAGAAAAAAAAAAGTTAGTTATTTGTGAAAAAATTTAAACATAAAAAAAAATTATTTTTTCTATCATTTTTCTTTTCATGCTAATCAAACATATTAAAATTCAAAAAAAAAAAACATTTATATCTTTTAACATTCGTCTGCTAAACAAATGAACGCTTATCACTATTCCACCGTCTTTTTAACTTAAAATATACCTTTGCCCTACTTAAAAGCGACAAATTCTTCAAAACCGGAATTGTTGTTAGAGACTTCCGACCACTACATGAATGTTCTAGGCCTATCTTTATTCCAGCATAAAGAAAAATCTAGTGCAATCTTGAACATTTGTACGGACTGGTCTTCTTGTTGGCAAGCTTGTAATGTACCAAAATTAAATAGGAGTTTTTCTTGAGCAATACGTGTCCCAAAGCACATGCAAACACCTTTAAAAGTGCCACCTAAACTTCGTAAATGCAACCCTTACAAAAAATATTTTAGTATTGCGTTCGACAAATATTATTTGAATTTAAAAAATAAATTTAATGAATAATTAAAATTGAATGGATAATAAATTTCAATAAATATTAGAATCTATAATCAAATAAATGACAATAATTATATTTTAAATTTACTTCTTTAATCTACGTAAAATTACTCATTATATTATTTATAACTTTTTTCAATAATTATATCATATTTTAGGTATAATTTATTAACTTTTGAGGTGCCTACTCTTTATTTAGAGGCTCATTCAGTACTTTTTAAAATGTATTTTTTAGTATATTCAAACACAACAAATAAGATTCAAAATTATTTAGAATATGTATTTTAAAGATTCTCCCTCTCTCTCATTTGCCAAAGGGCATGACAGAATTTAATTGTAGTTGAGTGATTATAAAATAAAATTAAGTTAAAATTATTGATTAATTGATGAAAAATAATGATTATAATGTATCGTGTGAGGCTGAATTTAATATGTTATATAAATTAACATATAACAAATTTATTGAATAACCCATATTTTAATTGTACTCAGGTGTTTATGAAATAAAATTGAGTTGAATCTATTGATTAATTGATGAATGGGTATAATTTTCACACTTAATTATTCCACTAGTTTTAATTAATTTTATTCATTATATTAAAAATAGTGTTTATAATGTATCGAGTGAGGTTGAATATAATATGTTCTCTAAATTTTAAAATTAATATTAACGATTTTATTGAATAATTCATATTAAACAGGAATATATTATAACATCACTATTCATTTCCCTTAATAGAAATTTCAAGCTCCATCTTTGCTTTTGAATTGCTCATAGGTTTGGCAAAGGCTAGTCCTACCACTTTTACACCGGGCCGCTCTAGGAGAGTTAAGAAATGTTTGGTTTTAAGTATAAAGTAATGGTGGTCATAATTAGTCAATTAATTTATTTTATCCTAATTAAATTAGGTTTAAATTAAGATTTTGATAAACTTTAATTTTATTATTTTAATATTAAAAAAGTACCTTAACATGAAAAATTTTTGAATCTCTATTTTACTCTTATAAAGAATTGTAATAATCATTATATTATTTCACAATTAAATATGTAAATTATTATCATATGCTTATGTATTTAAATTTTCAAATTATATCTAACATCTATTTTAATTATCTATTCTCTATGTATAAATATCTATTTCTATAAAAAAATCTGATTTACCATATTACCCTTAAAAAATATGTAACATTATATTTTCAATAAAGTGTTCAAAAAACTTTTTAAAATTTCATCAATCTAAAATTACTCATCTCATATATAAAGATAACATAATGCATACATATGCATATTTTCTTTTTTATTGAAAAGTTTAACTCTTCCATTTCTAAGATAAAAAATAATCGTATATATAATTTTTTTTAAATTAATTTATGTTACATTAGTATAATTCAATCACAATAAATTTTCTAAATTGTATTAATAGTTTATGTGAAAATATATATTGTAATGTTTTTTTAAGTAGTACTTGAAATTTTTAGAATTTTAATATTTTAGAATTTGAATTCTTTTTAGAATTTTTAAGTAAAAATTACAAATTTTAGATTTCTTAGAATAGTATAGTAAATCTTATCCAAATTCACCAAATTAATTCATAATTACAGTAAGATTCAAATATGATTATTATATTGACAATTACTTTTGTTTTAGGAAAAATTTCACCAATTCTTCTGAAATTTGTTACTTAATCACTTAGATCTCTTGACATTTGAAATATTACATACAAATCTTCTAAAGTTTGTACGTGCGTAACACCTAAACTCATGTCGTCAATGTTCGTTAGTACATCCATTAGTAAATTATATTCAGATCTCTAGAAATTCGTAGGCGTCCAATACTTAGACCATTTATTAGTTATAGAATTAACAGAATCTATTAAAAGATTAAATTATCCCAATTAAAAATAGAATATATTGTGTTCATTACAATTTGACCTATTTTTTAGTTTTATTTCAA